AGGACAAACTGTTGACAACTTATTTGTTAGGAGAGGGGAAGTTCTTTCAGAGGAAGATCATCTTTAATCTTAGAAACAGGGAAGTGTGCTTGTGTGTATATGTAGTGTATGTGTGTATGTTAGCCAGAGCAAAATTCAGTTGGAAATCAAGGGTGACCAATTCATGCAATCATTTTTCAATTGATTTTGCCCCTAAAATACATTTGGATGTTTCTGTATATTGCAAACGGAACAAAGATTGTAGGTGGCCCGATTACCAAATATAAATTACATATTAAGGTTTGGTGTCCAGAAATGTTTTTAAAATAGGTATGAAGGAAACACAAAAGACAAAAAAAAGCATGTGCATTATTCATGAAGGGCCTCTACAAGTAGTCCTTGACTTACAACTACAGTTGAATGAATGGTGATAAGTCGAGGACTACCTGCAAACTCATCAAGCTTTGTCTTCCTGAAACATTTCAAAAATAGGAAGAAAAGACAAAAGACAAAAAAAGCATGTGCAATATTTGTGTAGGGTCACTACAGGAAGTCCCTGACTTATAAGCATTTGCTTTTGACAACTGCAGCATCCCCATGGTTACGTGACCAAAACTCAAGGCTACTTGGCAACTGACTTGTATTTATGACTGTTGCAAAGTCCCAGGGTCACGTAATCCCCTTTTGAAACCTTCCAACAAGCAAAGTCAACAGGGAAGTCAGATACACTTAACAACCCAGTTACATGTACTCCTCAACTTACAACAATTCATTTAGTGACCATTTGAAGCTATAACAGCACTGAAAAAAGTGACTTATGAGGGTTTTTCACACATATGACGGTTGCAGCATCCCCATGGTCACGTGGTTAAACTTCAGATACTTGGCAACGACTCATATTTACAATGATTGCAGTATCCCAGGGACTCCCCCTTTTCTGACCTTCTGACAAGCAAAGTAAACGGGGAAGACAGCTTCACTTAACAACAGTGTTACTAATTTAACAACAGCAGAAATTCACTTAACGGTGGCAAGGAAGGTCGTAAAACAGGGCAAAATTTGCTTAACAACTGTCTCACTTAGCGACAGAAATTTTGGGCTCACTTTAACAACTGCAGTGATTCTCTAAACAAGCTGTTAAATGGGGCAAAACTCAGTTAACAACAGTCTCGCTTAGTAATAGAAACTTTGAACTTCATGGTGGTCATAAGTCGAGGACTACCTAGTATATGAAGAACTATATTTCCTGATGGCTTTGGGGAGTCTCCAGGCACCTGTTTGGGCTTGCAAAAAGTTATAAGCGGGCCCTTGCTGGAGCGAACTTACGGTCACTTTTTCCCCCAGTGCCGTTCTAACTTTGGTCACTAAACAAAGTTATGTTGTAAGTCAAGGACTACCTGTATATTTCCCCAATGGCTTTGAGGAGCCCCCAGGTACCTGTTTGAGCTTGCAAAAAAGCTAAAAGCTGGGCCGAGGGAGCCCCAGCCACCCCGAGACAACAGACCATGATCAAACCACCATTTTAAAAGCCCCTGCAAACAAACCACTTCTCTCCTTAACCCCAATTAAGTCAACCAGCCTGTGTACTTTTTTTGGGGGGGGGGGGGGAAAAACTGCATGAAGGGTTTATTTCCTCAAAATAAGAACTGCATGGGATTTATTTACACTGAAGAAAAACAGCATGAGGGGTTTATTTCTCCCCCAAGAAAACGGCATAATTTCCTCAGAATAAAAACTACATGAAGGTTTTATTTCCTCCTAAGAAAAACTATAAGGGCTTTACTCCCCCCCCCCAATAAAAACTATATGAGGGGTTTATTTCCCTCACCCCAAATAAAAACGGCATGAGGACTTTTACTTCCCCCAAAGAAAAGCTTTATTTCCCCCGAATAAAAACTTGTTTCCCCCTAAGAAAAACTAAATGAGGGGTTTATTTCCCCGGAATAAAAACTACATGAGGACTTTTATTTCACCCGCAGAAAAACATGAAGGGTTTGTCGTCGTCTCCCCTCCCGAATAAAAAATGTATGGGGACTTTTATTTCCTCCTCAGAAAAACTACAAAGGGGTTTGTTTCCCCCAAATAAAAACTGCCTGATAGTTTTTATTTCCCCCTCAGAAAAACTGCACGAGGACTTTATTTCCCCCTCAGAAAAACTGCACGAGGACTTTTATTTCCCTCTAAGAAAAACTACACGAGGGCTTTATTTCCCTCGTAAGAGCAGGCCTGGCCAGCCCCGGTTTACCTCACGGGCGAGACGAGCGGTAGGCAGAGCAGAAGCAGCAAGGCGATTTCGCCGTAGAGAAAGGCGGCCACGGCGCTCCACTGGTAGGTCATGGTGCCTCCGAAGGGGACCCTCCGCCGCCGTTACTCCTGAGGAGGGAAGCCTCGTTAGGTTCGTCTCGGCCGGGGACCGAAGAAAAATCCCTTTCTCAGGTCGGGATAGACACCCCACGCGCCGGGTCAACGGCTGCGGAGCCGCCGCCGTCGCTCAGCGACTAGCCGCGCTTCTCCCGCGCCATCCCGGCCCAGGGAAGCGTCACCCCGGGGCGCCTCCTCCGCGCCGCGCGGCCCAGGCTTTCCTATCAGGCGGCCGGAGCGAAGCCCTCCACGACCGAGCCGTCGTTATACCCCGGGAGGGACGGGAAAGCCGCGGCCTCCTGCGCTCCCTCAGGCCGGGAAGCCGCCCTCCACTCTTCCAGCCGGCCCCCCTCAGGCCGTGGAGGGATTTATTTTTTTTTTTTACCTCAGCCTTCCCTCGAAGGGCGCTTGAGTTTGGGCTCGGCGCACGGGATGGTTGGGTGGGTGAGCGCATAACGTGTGAACCCGGCCCACGTGGCCGAAGAACTCGGGTTGGGGGACGGATGAGTGATTATCTGAGCTTGTTTTCTTGCAGACGTTTCATTACTCAAACTACGTAGCTAACGTCAAAGTCAACTAAATTGTTAATCTTATGACTAATTTTCACTTATCCACTATTACTCCCCATACGATAGTTTAGCTTCTCTAGAGCTTTCTATCGTCCACCCATTTTCCTTGGCACTTTTTTCTAGTAAATTTATAGGTTATTCATTGAACTGGGATTACATGCCCTGGTGTAGTCCAATTGGCAAGGATGAGGACTAGTAAATTGAAAGCTGAGCTTCTGAATGGAAATATCTGGGGTGGCAACAACAACAGCTGAGTTGTTCCCAAACTAGTAATCCTGGATTGATGCAATTAAAACTATTTCTGGTGCACCTTTATTAATTATATCTCTCCATCCACAAGATGGACAACTATTTCTGGTGCACCTTTATTAATTATATCTCTCCAATCACCCCAATGTTCCATATACACTAGTTGTAATTACTCCACCCAGAAAGATATAGAAAACTTAGGACCCATGCCTTAAATTACAAATACAGGTAATCCTTGATTTAAGACCACAATTGAGCCCCAAATTTCTGTTGCTAAACAAAACAGTTAAGTGAGTTTTGCCCCATTTTATGACCTTTCTTGCTACGGCTGTTAAGTGGACCACTGCAGTTAAGTTAGTCCCACAGTTGTTAAGTGAAACTGGCTTTGCTCATCAGAAGGTCGAAAGGTGATGCCATAACCCTGGGGCAGTGCAACTGTCATAAATGCAAGCCAGTTGCCAAGCATCTGAATCTTGATCATATGACTACGGGGCTGCTGCAACAGTCGTAAGTGTGAAAAGCGTCCATAACTCACTTCTTTTCAGTGCCGTTGTAACTTCAAATGGTTGTGAGTCTATCCAAGACTACCTGTACAGCAGGACTACCTGTACAAGAGGTGTGGCATATATGTGAAGCAATTTTGAATGGGTGTAGGTTGATCATGCATGTTTATTTAATAACAAGTCTCATGAACTTACATCTGACTTTTGCATGTATGGATAAAACTGCAGAATAAAGGTTTCAGGATAGGCTTTGGCCTGATGTTTACACATCTTCATATATCTTCATACATCTACTATATTCACTTTGACATGATGTCGATGGAGATTCTCACTCATCCAGGTCATGGTTGTCCCAAAGGTGCTTTTTCAAGAGGCAGCTGGACTTTCTTTATAGACATTTTGCTTTTCATCCAAGACGCTTCTTCAGCTCTCTGACTAATTATAGTCAGCGCTAAAGAAGCTTTTTGGATGAGAAGTGAAACGTCTTCCAAGAAAAATCAGAAAGTCCAGTTGCCTCCTGAAAAGGCATCTTTGGGACTGTAGCATGATCAAAGATATTCAGCAAGCTATGATCATTCAATTATATACCAAAAGTACACTCCTTGCAAAGAATGGTTATTACCTGGAATGATTAATAAAGAAGTTTTTAATCAGTTTGTAGATATTAATCTCTGCTGAAAGGAATGCAGGATAGTGGAAGAAGAATTACAGGTATTCCTCAACTTACAACCATTTGTTTTGTGATCGTTTGTAGTTACTATGGCACTGAAAAAAATGACTTATGACTGTTTTTCACTTTTAGGACCATGGCATTATCCCTATGGTCACATGATTAAAGTTCAGAGATGTTGGCAACTGGCTCAGATTTATGACGGTAGCAACGTCCCTGGGTCGTTATCACCTTTTGCGACCTTATGACAAGGATAGATGGATAGATAGATAGATAGATGATAGATAGATAGATAGATAGATAGATAGATAGATAGATAGATTTCTTTATTGGCCAAGTGTGATTGGACACACAAGGAATTTGTCTTGGTACAAATGCTCTCAGTGTATATAAAAGAAAAGATACATTTGTCAAAAGTCAAGAATCAGCAGGTACAACATTTAATGATAGTCATAGGGTACAATAAGCAATCACATTATATTAGGAAACAGTCAATATAAACCGTAAGGATACAAGTGACAAAGTTACAGTCATACAGTCACAAGTGAGTGGGGATGGGTGATAAGTCAATGGGGAAGCCAGTTTTACTTAAGAACCGTGTTAACTAACTTAACAACTGCAGTGATTCATTTAACAGCTATGGAAGAAAGGTCATAAAATGGGGCCAAACTCACATAAGCACTGTCTTGTTTAGCAACATATATTCTGGGCTCAATTATGGTCATATGTCGAGGACTACCTGCATATGTGATTGCAATCAGCATCTTTGTATATTATAGCTGTGAGAAAAGGACAACTGGGCCCTAAAGTTGGTGTAGGTCTCTGCTTAATTGAAGGCCTCAAATTAAGTATATATTATAATGCTGGCTGAGCTGATTTTCCAAGCATGGCGAAATATTTGCAATCTGCTGAGCTGATTTTGCAGGCACGGCAATAGGTTCACTATCCGCAAAAAGCATATATTTGCTGAACAATAAAAAATAGCTATTTTGGATCACAAATATCTGAGACATTGAGAAAAAGCGGAACTGAAAGTAGCAGATAGTAAGCAAGTTACCTACAAGTGGGTGTTAATTGATGGACAGTATGAGGGAATAGGGTAGTGCATCCACTGAGATTACATACCACTGGGTGGGCTTCAGAAGAAGAAGGGTATAAAAGAAGGGGGTAAATCTCAAATCAGGGCCATTGATAGTAACTATCCTTTCTGAAGTTAGCTACTACTGTCTCTGGACCTCATTGCAATGGGCTATTGATATAAGTAATGATATGATGGCCTTTCATGCTCCAAATTACTCACGAAATAAATCTTTGATCTTAAAAAGTAAGATTTATTGCTTGTGGTTTGTCTGTGTATCTCTTTTATTAAATTATTTTTATAACGTAGCCATGTCTATAGCTGCACTCAGTCCGAACAAACCAACCTGAGATTAAGGTTCACAGTTTGCACCTATTGAAGTACAGTTTGCTTGATAAGGGCTAAATAAACCTATGGACGGTTGCTGCTTTTATTCACAATTTGCTCATAAGAAAATGCTAAAATTGTATAAATGCACATACGGAAATCCTTGAGTAGAAAAAACAACTGTAGGCATCCAGAATTTATAAACGAGTCTGGTCTTTTCACAATTAAATATATCTAGAAGGCTACCGAACACCATAATTATCTCTAAGGTAGTCCAAAACAGCAGACGTACTTGATAAAACGTTAAAAATCTTTTTTTCTTGTTTCGAAGTCACCCTCTCCAGCATGTACATTAAATGATGATGGAAGCAGGTGAAAGGGGTACCCTGCTCAAGGGCTATATCCACCCAATCCTGGACACACTGCAGAGGTGTGTCTTCATACCCTGTAAATAAAGCTGGGTTGGCTAAGAGCCCTCTCGCAACCATGACACCTACAAAAGGAAAAGAAATATATTTTCAGAAAACCACAAATACATATTTATCTTAAAGCTGGAATGTATAATTTTTTTGGTATCCACTGATAGTGGCCACCGTTGTACTACTTTGAGGGTTAGGGTAGAACAAGAAAAGGTGTTGATCAAGGGTGGGATTCAAATTTTTTAATAAACCGGTTCTGTGGGCATGGCTTAGGTGGTAGGCCTGGCTTGGTGGTCATGTGACTAGGTGGACATGGCTTGGTGGTCATGTTATTGGCTGGGTGTGACCAACTCAATATCACTCACATCGAGGCACACATCTCCTCACCTGGCCTCTCATGACTGTGGGGATGCTGCAATAGTCGTAAGTGTGAAAAATGGTCATAAATCACTTTTTTCAGTGCCATTGTAACTGAATGGTCACTCCACACAAGCAAAGTACCAGCAAAGGAAGGTAAAAAAACTCCAGAGAAGTTCCTGAGACAGGAAGTCTAGTCCTGCCAAGAATGTAATAAGGGTTAACTGAGAGGCAGTTTCTGTAAGCAACACCAGAATGTTTCCTTCCTACCTTCCTTACAGGATTAGGCCAGTAATTTCTTCTAACAACTGGTTCTCTGAACTGCTTAGAATCTTAACCAGTTCTAGTGATTAGGTGCGAACAGGTAGAATCCCACCCCTGGTGTTGATGGTAAAAGATTGTGCCATGTTTTTTATTATTTTTTTTCTAAATATTTCTCAATCATGGTAACTTTAAGATGGTAAGACTTCAAATCCTCAGATTGCAAAAATTTATACTGCCAACTTTGGACAAGTGGGGGTTCGAGAGATCACAAAATGCAAAGAGGTTTGCGAACATGGATTGCTCATCCATTGCTTGATGCACATTTCAAAGAGCTGGAGAAATTGCATGAGGTACTTAAAGGGCGTCATCATTTCTTATTTATTAAAAAGTTTCAAGATGCTGGCTATTCACCGAATGGGAGCTAGCGGATTTGACTAGCGGTAATATTGAGGATACTAGAAGCAGAAAAGCAGCATTCTGGAAGATTCGAATGGTTAACAGAGGGAGATTGGGCTGCTACCGGTTCACCCCAGTTTGAGCGAACCAGAATCTAATTTTATGGCCAGTTCGGTGAACCGGTAAATCCCACCCCCGGCTGGCCCCGCCCTCCCCTCCCCTGCCAGGAGTCCCCTTGCGGCCTGTTTTGGATCCCAGATAAGTACAGGGCCCGTGAAGAGGCTCGGATAGGGCGAAAAATGGGCCTCCCAGAGGCCAGAAACAGGCCCGTTTCTGGCCTCCAGAGAGCCTCTGGAGCCCGGGAAGGCTGTTTTCCCCTACCCAGAGGCTTGAGGAAAGCCTCCGGAGCCTGGGGAGGGCAAAAATGCCCCGCCTCCAGGTGCAGGACGCTGACTAGGCTATGCCAACCATGGTCATGCCCACCCAGCAACCGGGCAGAGAACCCATTACTCAAATTTTTGAAGCCCACCCCTGGGGAGATAGATTTGACTACATTTCAGTTGACTCTAGAAACTTAGAAGAAAGACCCATTTAACCCAGTGAAAAGTATTTCTTAGAATATGAGCTTACATGGGTTTTGTCATGCCCCTGTGAGAGTCTGAATCCGAGGAGGAAGCCGGACAGCTGACAGGGAATGGGAGTGTGGCTGTGGAGGAGGCTGGGGAAGGGCAAAGTCCAGCTGGGCAGAGCAGGGGAGAGGTAGAGGAAGGGAGAGGGAGTTCAGAGGAAGACCAAGACCCACCCGCTCTTCATCCTAGGGCACGCAAGGAGGAACGGAGAAGAGAGTAATGTGGGTTCCGTGGCTTACGGGGGAGGAAAGGGACCTGATTCCTTTCATTAGCCACAGCTGGGAAGACAGTTGATAAGAAAGGCAGGCTGCATGCGGCAGGCTGCTGGGAGCAAATGTGACTTTATCCTGTGTTGCCGTGGCTTATCTGTGTTCCTGGAGTCTTCCCAACTGTGTGAGTTTTGTCGTGCCTTCAAGTCTGAAATTCTTCCTCCTGCCCTGTCAAACTAATTACTTTAGTATGGCTTGTTTGGACTTTAAGTTACAATTTGTGTTGCTCATGTTTTGGACTTAATTTTTTGCAATCAAAGGCTGTTCCTGGGAGAGTTTTTCTCTAGCCAGAAGGTAACCAGGACACGTGGGGCAAAGTTGGAGATAATAAAAAGATTCCTATTGCTTATCTGACTGTGTTCCTTTGTGCCACGCCCCGGGTCATCACAGGTTTAACATCAGCTCCTTATATAGCTATTTGAAACAAGATGAGTGTAATATTGTCTAACCTTAGTCATTTTTAAGGTGGGTGGATTCCAATGCCCAGAATAGTGTAGCCAGCATTGCTGGAAACAAGCATCAGGGAGAAAAAAAAAACTCAGAAGAACCAAGGTTGTTCTCACCATCAGCTCCTGTTCTTTGATGAACGGCCTCCACATCTTTCAGGGACTTCACGTCACCGTTAGCTACCACCGGTATGGAGACGCTGTCTTTAATTGCCTTAATTGCATCGTAGCGCACTGGCTGATGTCTTTCTTCTACACTTCTCCCGTGTACACTGATCCAGGATACGCCAGCTGACTCTGCTTTTTGGCAGAGGTCTACAGTCCTCTGTAGATCTCCATGGATCCTTCCGTTCCGTGCGGAGAGGGGAAAAAAAGGTAACTCAGCAGGTGAAAATATTTTCTCAGCGTGAAAATATAGTGAAGAATTAAGAACAGAGAAGGGGAGGGAAGGAGACACATATAGATATAGGTATGTACAGGTAATTCTATGCCACTGCCAGGAGTTCGATCTTGACTGGCTCAAGGTTGACTCAGCCTTCCATCCTTCCAAGGTGGGTAAAATGAGGACCCAGATTGTTGGGGCCATAAGCTGACTCTGTAAACCGCTTAGAGAGAGGCTGTGAAGCACTATGAAGTGGTATATAAGTCTAACTGCTAGTGCTATTGTGGTATTATTCCTGAATAATACAAATGCCTTGATTTTTCACTAAATCATATGGTTACGAATTAAAGACAGCTTCTTAATTGATTATTTGCAATATCTTTTTATGTAGCTAATACAGAAAATACTTTTTTTTTCTGCTGTCCACCACATCTATAAGACAATTCACACATATATACCTCTATAAAGGACTTACCGTATCTTAATAGATACTGAAAATGTGGGCTTTTCCACTTGATTTCTTACTGATCTCACCATCTCTTGTATCAGTTGTGGTTTGTTTATTAAGCAAGCACCATAGCCTTCTGCCATGGCCCACCTGGAAGAAAACAATAAAGGACCCCCTTTAAATACCTTTTGTGGCTACAAACCACCAAGATCTTAACTCAAGATTTAAATAATAACATTTCTTCAAGCTTTTGCGGTCACAGGTTGAGAACCACTGGCCTACTACGTTATACTAAAAAAACTACTTATTTAAACAAAAATATATATTAAAAAGCTCCAATTTCTCTGCAGGTTTACCTAATTTTCAAATGTAAAGAAAGTGAATAATAGTGTATGGAAAATCAGTACAACAGCAGTTGCTTTAAGAAATGCTTCTTTATATAGTCAATACATAAATATGTAAGATACACTAGCAAAATGGGTCTGACTTTCTGATTTCACAGAAAAACTCATTTGCATTCACTAAGCACCCAAAGATTTTGCCCTTGGATTTTCTGCCTAGGTGTAAACATATTAAGTTAGAGGCATTTTAAATTTAGTTTAAAATGTTAAACTAACATGCTGACTGGGAAATTCTGGGAGTTGAAGTTCATACATCTTCAAGTTGCCAAGGTTGAGAAGTACCATTTTAGACACCGGTCAAATATATGGAAGTGCATATCTACATTTTAAATAAAGAATGTGTTTTATTAAAAATGTTCTGTACTTTAAGAGCTGTGGTGGCGCAGTGGTTAGAATGCAGTATTGCAGGCTAATTCTGCCAACTGCCAGCAGTCCGATCCTGACTGGCTCAAGGTTGACTCAGCTTTCTGTTTTTCCAAGGTTGGTAAACGAGGACCCAGATTGTTGGGGGAAATAGGCTGACTCTGTAAACTGCTTAGAGAGGGCTGTAAAGCACTGTGAAGCAGTATATAAGTCAAAGGGCTATTGCTATTTTGTTCAGTTGTATGTTCTGTTTATTTGAAACTTATTGGGAGGATTTTCCTTGAAAAATAGAGAGAAAAAGAGAGAGAGGAAGAAGGAGAAAGAATTGTTTCCATATATTGTTCTCAGGTCACTCACCTTTGTGGACAACCACAGTTTAAATCTACGCCATCCGCAAACGGACTCACAAGCCCAGCTGCATCTGCCAAAACTTGTGCTTCTTTAGCAGCAAATTGAACAATCAAAGGATGGTCACCTGTAAAAAAAAAAAGAATTGTAATCTATATACATATAAAAGCGAAATATCACTCATGCATCATCACAAAATCTCCAGAACCGTAAAGTCTACAAACTTGAAATTTGGCACGTATGTTCCTCTTGGCTTCTAGGTGCTCACTAAGAAAGGATTTTTCCAAATGACCATCAGAGCATTTAAAGTATTTCCTATATTATTATTATTAACACGCTCTGATGCTAAGAAGTTCTACTCCCCCTCCTCACCTGAAAAGAAATCTCTTCCAAATGCAGAACACAAACAGAGGAGAGGAGTTTCAGTTTCAGTTTCAATTTCACAGCACCAAGCAGCTTTAGTACAGAACAGTGGAGCTAAGCCACGCCCAGGCTCCTTACTGTCTCCTTGCTCACACAAATACTAAATACCAAACAGCCCTCAACTCTCTCACACACTGACAGGACGCTAGCCAGATGAATACCGATGGATGCTGGTAGGCAGAGGCACAATTTTTTTCCTCTTATTTTCCTCCCCAAAAACTAAGCCCGACCACATAGTTTTGTAGCGAAGCACGAGTATCGAGCTAGTAAATAAATAAAAATCACTGATATTTAGGAAAGAAGGTACATTCTAGATACATCAGTGAGAGAACCAATGTGGTGTATTGGCTAGCACTGAATTCTAGTTAGGGAGAACCTGCCAGAATGAATCTCATGATGATTTTATTCAGTGATGATTTTATTCAGTAAGGATGGAACAAACCAGGATTTAGTGTGAATCTGCAGTCCTATATACTAAGCTTTCTTTAATCTGTTGCCCTCCAAGTATCTTGAATTTGAAATTGCTCTTCCGTCTACTTCTAGTTGTTCAACTCAGCTGCTTTAAATTCAATGGATATCTTTGACTAGAAGCTACTTCTAGTCCCAGCTATTTTACAAGGTTCTTGGTATATGGACATCCATATTTTGGGAACTTCCGGAGAATAACATGTTATGAATCTACTAAAAGAATAAGGACTTGATCCAAGGATAATTTAACTTGAATAAGTAGACCAAAGAACAATTTCAAATTTGATGGGCAACAGACTGAAGGTTTACTTCCTGGGACTACAAGCTGTTAAATTGATTCCTCTATCACACTAAACCTTGGTTTGTTCCATCATTCTTACTGAAGAAATCACTGTTGGTTTTATTCTAACAATATATCAGGCCCAGACCAAACATATTATTTCATATCTCCGTGCAATGATTCAATCCTAATCAGGGTCTTTCTGAGCTCTACAATAGATTTTGTGTATGTTTCTAAAAAGATATTTTGAGGACAACTACCTGGGCATTAAAAAGGATTTCAAAAGCTCCAGAGGGGTGAGAGAATGTACACAACCCACCTTGGTTTGTTGTAAATTCACTGTGCCTGGCTTTCAAAGATCTGACAAAATCAGCTGCAATGATCATTGGTGTGTAGCATAAATCACAGTCATATTTCCTGACTAAAGTTCTGAAAGACAATCTACAAATATAAAAGCATTCGAGATACCAGTAAGTACATGTTTAATTTATCAAAAGAGTGGATTTCCCCCCCTCCAAATTATCACTTTAGTTAATATTGATATTTTATTCTGGAAAACACTGCATGCAATTGGGTCATTTTATGCATATGTAGTGAGCCAGTTTTGTCTAGTGGTTAAGACTAGAAACTGGGAGATGGTGAGTTCTAGTCCCAACCATAGCCATGAAAACCAGTTGGGTGACTTTGGACCAATCACCAGGAGACAGGGAATTCTAGTTCTGCCATAGCCATACAAACCATCTGGGTGACTTTGGACTCATCAGGAGATGGGGAGTTCTAGTTCTGCCATAGCCATGAAAACCAGTTGGGTGACTTTGGACCAATCATCAGGAGACGGGGAGTTCTAGTTCTGCCATAGCCATGAAAGCCAGTTGGGTGATTTTGGGCCAGTCACTCTCTCTCAAGCCTAACCCACCTCACAAGGTTGTTGTTATTGGGAAAATGGGAGGAATATTAGCTTTGTTCATTCAATCCACCAGCATTTGCATTTCAAAGCAAATTAATCCACGGGACACCACTTTCCTGCTTGATGACCATTTGATCGTGACTGGAGCTATCTTTACTAGAATTGGCACTTTCACACAAGGCCTTTGCCCTGTTTGATGAACCAGCATGTAATTAATTATACTATATTATATTAGCTTTGGAGGGCTAATCTAAACCAGGCTTCCCAACCCACAAGGTGTACTGTGTCGGAAATTGCGGTCACATGACTTTGGGACTGTTGTGGCCTGTTGGCCACTGGCCCTTCCAGCAGCCAAATCAGAGGAGGAGGAGGTGTGGGAGTCAGGGTCAGCATCATGGCAACCTGGGAGCTCTGAGGGGTAAGAGGGAATGGAGCTATCAGAGAGGGGGGGAGGGAGGGAGGGAGGGACAGAGGGAGAGAGAGAGAGAGAGAGGCAGAGCCTGGGCCGTCTGTCAGCCCTCAATGGAGAGTCAACAGCCCCCAGGTCTGGAGGTGGCTGATGAGGAAAAGGAGGAACAGCTGGGTCCAGTGCCTGACACGCAGATGCTCAGAAGGCAGAGGAGAGGAGAGCAGTGGAAATCTATAGGCCGGTCTTTGGGACGGAAGAGCCACCACTGCTAGCGAAGCCTCACCCTAGCTCTGGGGATAAAAGGCAGGGGGTGGAGATGAATAGATGCGGCAGACAAATATTCATCTCTCTGCCCGACAGACTTGTTACCCTGTAGTGAGAGAGAAACTTTTTGCCGGGGCTGCTGGTGCTCCTAATAAAGAAATTATTGCTTCAACTACAAAGGGTTTGTCATGTTTGGGGAGCTGGATCAGAACAGGCACTTACTTTGAATACCTAACCATAGGAGCACATATTTTCACGACGGGTTCTGAATGAAACAAATCAACTGGATTTTTTAGCGGAGACCATCCCATTTGCCTGGAGAGACTGGAGTCATCAATGTTATCAAGCCACATCTACAAGGCAAAAAATTTTAAGAAGAGGACGTAAGAACAATTTGTCTTAAATACACATTTTTTGGGGGGGGGGGGCAAAAACAAAGGAGAAACCTGAAAGGGAAGCACATCTGAAAGAGATTCATAAGCATTAAAAATAATTATTGATAACTTTGCTTTATAAAAGAGGATTCAAGAACAAAACCAAGAAAATAGTCATTAGATTCCATAAATCTAAAGGGCAGCTTTCTGAATTAAAGGGCTGTCTTTTATCTTACAATAAAGCCCCGCATTCAATGCAACAGCCTAGGTCAGCATTTCTCTATCCTGGCGACTTTATAATAGGTGGATTTCAACTCCCAGAATCCCCTGCTGACAGGAGGATTCTGGGAGTTGAAGTCCACCTATCACAAAGGTAACACGGTTGAGAAATGTTGGACTACATGCAGGCCACATACAACTCCAAGAATTCCCCAGCCAGCAATGCTCGTTGGGGAATTCTGAGAGTTGAAGTCCATGAGTCTTTTAAATTGCCAAAGGTTGAGAGATGATGGAAGCCTTCAATCCCAGTCTGAGCATATATGTTTGTTTGTTTCTTTCTTTCTTTCTTTCTTTCTTTCTTTCTTTCTTTCTTTCTTTTCTTTTCTTTTCTTTTCTTTTCTTTCTTTCTCTCTCCCCTCCCTTCCTCTCTCTCTCTCCCTCTTTCTCTCTCTCTCTCTCTTTCTTTCTTTCTTTCTCCTCTTTCTTTCTTTCTTTCTTTCTTTCTTTCTTTCTTTCTTTCTTTCTTTCTTTCTTTCTCTCTCTCTCTCTCTCTCTCTTTCTTTCTTTCTTTCTTTCTCTCCCATCCTCTCCCCTCCCTCCCTTTCTCTCTCTCCAGCTTTCTCTTTCTTTCTTTCTCTCTCTCCCCCTACTCCCCCTCCCTTTCTCTCTCTCCCTCTTTCTTTCTTTTTCTTTCTCTCTCCCTTCCCCTCCCTCTTTCTTTCTTTCTTTCTTTCTTTCTTTCTTTCTTTCTTTCTTTCT